TGGGTGATGACTGACTCAAAGCAGGATTTCGTCAAGCAATAGACGATGGTATTCCACAATGTAGTACTTGTGAGTAACTGCAAGTTGTTTCCAAGGCATTGCAACTTCGAAAATATTTCAATTTAAAGAGACACTTATGAAAAATTAGCACGCTATAAAATGGACTTCCATTAAAACTTAGCAACAATGATCAATATTCTTCTAAACTACTTAACTAAGCCGAGGTTGGCGTTGAAAGATTCAGCCGGCTAACGTTCCTACGTTTTCATCTTCTTCAGAACCGCGTTGAACCGTGTCCGTGATCCACAGTCGTTGGGTATTTAAGTGACTGGGGCACCACTCGAATGGTGAACTTCTCTCAATGGCGCCCTTTCAAAGATCACGGAGGTTGATCTATTGCCGCCTCCACTATGATCAGCTTTTCGGAAGACATGCATCCTGCAGTATTCGGTAATTCATTACCTGGCACGTAGCGTGGTAATGCTTTAAAAACCGTCTTTCATTAAACCTCGGCGAGAATAATCAGTTTTTCTAGATTAGTGGTAGAGTCATTCGCTAGGGAGGAAAGTGCACCCGAATGAGCATATTTCAACAAGCTATGTCGAATAATTAGGCGTCAAATACGTCCGAGGCTCAAAGACTTAGATGTCGGATAAACACCGAGGTTTAGCCCATTGATGCGGATGCCTAATTTCGTGTAGTGGGTGCTTAGAACGACATCCAATTTCATATCGTTGCGGACATACCGGCTTTTCAACAATAGGCGGCGGTTTTTCAATAATTAGAGGACTGGTAGTGGAGTGGTTAGTGATGCATTCCGTCAGGAAACAAGGCACCGTTCCGACACCTCCCCGACGCTCTCCCTCTCCCTAATCCACATAGGAACTCCTTAACCCGTTTACCTCTAGACCAACTTCTACCAATTTGCCCAATAACGCGTGAGTCATTAGTATGAGTTGTGCTGCCGCTAAATCATTACCATTCTACAACGATATTTACATTGATGTAAAAAGAGTGGTTATACAAGGCGGTATCATCTCGTCAAAATTATTTACCACTACACTCGAGAGCATTATTTACCACTACACATGCAAATACTGGAATGGGACAACATGGGAAAGCAAATCGATGATCGGCAATAACACCATCATCGCTTTGCTGATGACATCGTTGTTATCATACCAAACATTAGCCGAGTGGAGCGAATGCTAGCCGACTTTGATCAGGTATGTGAAAGAATTCGTCTTCGATTAAATGTTATAAAAACTATGTTCATGAGGAACGGACTGGTTTGATGCGCCCCATTGAAGCTCAACAGAACGAATAACTCCGAATGCTCCAGATACATCTATATACGCTGGGAAATCAACATGATGAACGACTTAACCCCAGAGTTGAGCAGGGGTAAACGAGCGGCTTGAGGAGCTTACAAGAGAACCGAGGATGTAGTCAGAAGAACAAAGAACAGTCGATTATGTGACCAACTTTTCGACTCCACGATTTTTCCTGCCTTGATGTATGCTTCAAAAACCTCCTCTCTGCGTAAAAAGGATGGAAGATTACTCAGCGTTACTGAACGCGCAGTCGAGAAGACAATGCTAAGAGTATTCCGGGTTCGATCTGCGTCAACGATCAAAAATCAAAGATTCCGTTCTGTACGCGGAACTATCGAAGATAAGATGGGCCGGACACGTAACGCGTATGAACGACAAGCGATAGCCGTTAGTGACTGGATTCCTCGGGATGTTAAACGCACTGCAGAAAGACCACTGACCCGATGGTCAGACTTCTTCACGAAGGGTCTGGAAGAAAGATATGATGCTCAACGAGTCCCTAGAGCGAGCAGAACCCACTGGGCTACTCTCACACGCGACGATAAGAAATGGAAGATTTACTGGCGCCCGCTCGAGTCACTCAACGAATAGCCAGCACAAAAGAGTTATTATTTCAGGAGCGGAAAATGAAGACCTTTCTCGGACGAGTTCACCTTGACGCGACAGAGTATTACTGTTGAAGACAGAATGCATCTGAGAGAATGTAGCCGGTGAAGAGGTACATTAATGCCTTTGTTTGAACACAATTCGACACCATTTGGCCATGATGAGAAGGTAAATAATTGAGGTCAGAGTGGCTCAGTGTTCACAAGGTATGTCCTTATGAATAAGATTCAATAAGTCTTGTCTTTCGAAACAGTTGCCAAAATTTCTTACCTCACTACTTCATATTTGTTTCATAACCCGCAAATTACAACTTTCACATACATACGATATACAAGCATATATATATATATTATACATAATTAACAATCTTATACATAAAATTTTTGCCTACAATCAACAATATTCTTTTCAGTCAGGACCTTCGTCGACAGTGGGTGAGAGGAAACAAATCGAATGCAAGAAGTGCTGGTATCAGTACAGTAGATGTGAAGACGCATTGTGTGAAATACGAAAGAATAAGTGACGGATCATACTTATGGTGTGGGGATGTTCAGGTACAAGATACACCAAGTTGGGCTCACTAACAGCTGTGAAACACTTACATACGTCGACATTAATGGATTTAGTAGGTGAACTATAGTGAAATATAACATGTAGTAGCAAAATTTAACCTCTAGATGGAGAGAACAAAGCCTCTTCTATAACATCGCGAAGTTCTCAAACCTATAAGTCCTCCAGCTAACGAAGATTCCTCGTGCATTGTCGAAAAAACCACTATTTCAGTGTACTGCGTGTAAGTTCTACTGTTTTAGACCTCCGTGAAATCAACAGCAGTCGCGTATGTGTTAATAGTGCCATATTATTAATAATTAGCTCATACGCAACACTAATGATGAGCTCTATATGCGGGAACCGTAGGTTGAAATCATAATGAACACCTCTTGTCTACCTGGACTATAATCCAAAGCTTGAGCTCATAGCGACGGCCCAATTATATTGAAAAGACATGATTAAGCAGGTAGTAGTATACGAATGTCGCGAGAAGTTTAGTAGAGTATAATGGGCAGATCGGGAATATGCGGTGTTCTGATAGTTCACCTCGGTAGCAAAAGCGAGGGAATTCTAGCAGAAGGAATGAAAAAAACAGAAAAAAAGAAATAATGAAAAAATCTGTGAGACGAAGTAAAACCAGGCAGAATGCACTGTGAACTGATTCCGCCTCGCTCTGATAGAGACGCAGAACAGCGATTGTCCCTCAAATCCATGAGGGCCGAGGACGTTCTGTGGTACGGACCTCGAGACACTCTATCATAGCTATTTCAAGTTTCTAGGTAAGACCACACTCAACAACCATGGATTATGTGAAAGACAGTATAGAGCTAATAACGAGGCTCTCTTTATTCTGTCGAACTTAAATGCGAACCACATCACACCTAAAGATTGATAGTTCAAGACAATAATACGAATAGCACGAATGTTGTAGCCGCGTCAAGTGCGAGCTGAGGTGTCTAGGCACCTAGCCATAATAATATTATAGGAAATTACTTTAGAAAGCGGTGCGTATCCCATAAGTTTAAAGGTGTTTATTCAAAGTTTTGTACCGAACACCAGCTAACTTCTCCAAAGGAAGATGAGTTCTGCCTGAAGAAATATACCTCATTTTTAGCCAATTCCTCCTAACGGTTTACCGCCTCATCGTGGATAGGATGTTCTTGGGTGTCGGGCTGCGATATGCAGCTGGGGATTCATCCCCGACACGGTCTCTCAATATGAGAAGGAACCCGGCGTTTCAATCAGGAAACCCAGCCAAGAGGAAACTAATATCAGGGTCCATCACCGTCTGGTATCAAACTAGCTGCATGGTGGTAAATCTCCTTCTGATTCATAGGTACGGCGACTGCCTGTGGTCCCGACGACCTGAGGCAGACTTTGGTCAACCTGACCTTGGGACTCCAGGAAAACGCAATGAGTAAACCAACAAAACTCCGAAAAATATAGAATATACTGGCGCCTGCACAACCATTGAAGAAAAGCTCTCCAAGTATCTAAATTTTAGCCAATCTTATAATACCAACAATGCTGAGATGAGAACAATGCCGACCCGGATGGTGTAGTGGTGAAGTGCGCTGCTCCCCGGTAAGGACAACAGCGCGTGTTCGTTCCCCACTGCATACACCTGTGGTCCGGAGTTTTGCAAATATCTCAGCACTTCATACGAATGCTGAGATATTTGCAAAATTCCGAACCGCAGGTGTCTGTGGTGGCGAACGAACGCGCTACTACCCTTTCCAGGGGCTAACGCGTTCACCAAACTTTACGTTTTGCAAATATCTAAGCATCATTGAAGTTACATTTCGCAATATACCCTTCCACTAAAAAGAGTAGGCAGTAAGTAATAAGTTAAAATCTTATAACAGTTCAACTCCTCTTTAGACTATTTTATAGTGGGAACCCGAAATCAGGTATTGTTGTGCACTCAAAAGACAAGCAATAATGTATTTTTCCAGTGCTACGAATTCCTGGTAATTCAATTTTAATATTTTATTGAACAAAATTGCCCGACAGACTTACAAATGATGAATAATGATGAAGGAAATGTATGCAGCGCATACACGCCCAAACGGGGAGAGATCGAAAGAAGCGGGAGGGTGGCAAAAATGAAACAAAGAGAAAAACAAGGATTAACAGCAATTTCCAAAAACTGGTTGGAAACTGTTTAGTTTTCCGGGCACAACTTTTGCAAATTATGAACAGAGAACACAAAAAGTTGTGCGTTAAGGGTTCGAACTCTTCAAAGGATGTGGAAATCCGTACAGCAAATACATGTAGTCGGGTGACTAATGAAAACAAGTCAAATAAACGGTGTCGTACGACTCTCAATAATGTCTTGATTGTCATTAGTTCAAAAAAGAAACTAGTGTTTCGAGACGAGTACAGAAGATGCGTACAAGCACACATGAACCGGAAGATACGCAATAGAAAAGGCTAAGAATGTAATTGATTTAACCACAGAACACTTGTTGCAATTAACGCTGAGGTTTGATACATGAAAGGAGTACATTAACGCATTTCATCCTCGTCAACGATGTTATGCGGATCACACATACCAGGGACGGCATTTTTCTTCGCTTGAATAGCCTGAATCTCAGCCTCTCTCTCTTCGAGAAACAAATCCGAAGTGTCCTCGCCGTTGAACTCCTATTTTAAATAGATTGATAGGAGAACCTTGCTTTTAACTATATTAAAATAGCTCTTCTGAATAGCTCTTTTGGAAATATATACTCGATATCTCCCCTTTTACGGTGAAACCATTAAACGATGAATTCGAAACTGATGCTGGTATGCAATAGAAATACAGTTAGAAAGTCACACTAACAATATTTTCACTAGTTTCAATTATCAATCAATCTCTTAAGCACTGAAGAATAGAAGCAACCTTGATTTGAACTAGGAAATCACGCAGGTGGTTGCGCATTCCAGCCTGATCGGTGTTAAAACTGAAGAAGCCCTTGATGATAATTCGTATCTGACCTCTGAAACGAATAATAATTACAGCGCAAGCAACCACTGGAAACCACCCCATCACACCCTAACCTTGACTACCCAATCTAATGAATTTGGTTACATCTGTGTGCTCATTTATGAAGAACTAGTATAAACAGACACTTCTCTGTTGTAAACGAAGCCGAATAAAAGGTATAGAATAAATAAGGTCATTATCATCATGGTAAATACGTTATTATCAAGTCAACGCTTACTCTGTGAGATTGGTGAAATGTTGGACGAAAATGTTAGCGATGTACTCATAGATGTAGTCAACATTGCTCTGCTTTGGATTCTCATCGTTTAAAGGCACTGTGATGAAGAACTCGCACGCCTTGAACAGTCTACACAACAATTCGGCATAATAAGTGATTCCTGTAAGAGAATATGGATAAAACTCTGCAACACACATGGAATCGATTCCCGCGCCACCCGTTCACCAAGTCTTCCATCCCATCAACGTCTAACGCTTCATCCGTTATCCATAAAACTGACATAATCTATCTCAGCGCACTATATCTAACAACCAACACAATTGTGCAAATGTAAGGCAATAAAAATTTTGAAAAACGAAATTGATATCCTAACACCCTACTACAGTTGGTGCTTCTAAGTGCTTCTAGTCGACTAAGTGGTACACAGAACTCATATTTAATGTCTTTAAGGAGAAGGATCGTATTACAATGAAATGAGTCACCACTCATTCATACAGGATTAGTGGTCCGATGTGCACTGACTCTAACAGACTTCTTCATCTACATGAAGTCGGTTCGCTAGTACATAAGTTGTTCTGTGAAGGGTTAAGCTGTGAAGAATGGGTTCACGAAAGCACCGTTCATGTTAAAACCACATGTTATACTACTTTACCATTACGACATGAAGTTCAGAACCCATTCCCGTGATTACCAAAATGAATGGCTCTTGCTGCATAAAAATCGAACTTTGACCATTAAGCAAGTCGATAAACGGCAATAATACTGATTTGTAACCTAGCCGTTTCAAATACAAACACTGTCTGAAGAATTCATCAATTACTAAGTTATTAATAGACACATTCCATAAAGATAAATTCTCAACCCCATTACGTCCAAAAACCTCCGCTGCCGCTTCGAAATAGAAGGTCGAGCTGCTATGGAAAGCAGTCACCGGTTTATGCTGATGTCCTTATCAAATGCAGTTAGTAAGTGGATTGAAAGCGTATTTCAAGATAAAATGAAACTTTCTTCCTCCTCCCAAATGCTTTCCCAATACGACATGAGAAAGAAAACTCATTATCGAAGCACTATAAAAACCTACCAGCAACATGAACTTGGCTACTATCCGCAACAACGGCCAACACGTGCTGAAGTATTTGCATATAAAAACGCTTGTAAAACGGTTGTGATTGCTGGGGTGGAAGATATTCTACACGGTCAAGCATGTCCTTCAAAATATCCAGCCCTATAATAGCATTTAACACTACATATAACTCCTGGATAGTAAAAAAAACTTTCCCAACCAATCTCAGCAACATTCCGCATTGAGTGCTGGAAAGCCCAGACAACGGCATCAATAATGTAGCTTAGTTGTTCTTCAGGCAGAGTGATTAAAACTTGGAAACACTCGATGGTTAACGCGTGAATCAGTTGAAAAAAGTTGGTACGATGTTCAGGAAACGCCTGAAAACACCAAAGATAATGAGAAAATTTGAAACTAAGGTTGAAAAACTCGTACTTCCATATCCTTATTTATCATTGCCAGAGTGCACTCGAATACGGCCGCAAGGATATGAGGTACTTGAGAAGCCAGCATCGACTAAAACGTAGAGCAAAGTTTTCGACAGAAGAAAATTTCGAATGAATTAACGAGGCGATCTCAAATATAGTCTTACTCCGAGCTTCGTAACAATTATGCTAAGAAGCGAGAGAACTTTCGGCTCTCGTGCGGCAGGGACGTTCTTTTGATAGTCAAAGAGGACCGCGTCAAATAGAGGAGGAACAATATTCTCCAGAACCATCTAAATGTATACACAACGTCATTATGAAATGTAAAACCTACAAGGAACACTTTTTATGCAAATATCAATTTTTAGTTATAAAAACATACTTTCTTGGACTGTTGAGCTAACACGAGGCTGATAAAGAAATTTACTCGGCTTAGCTCAACAATCCAAGAAAGTGTTGATTATTACTTACTTGGATACTTGTATGCTCGAACGGCCCATTCTCAATGGTTGTGGGAACCATAGCATAATCCCCATTTTTTTCAGTTTTGCTGGTTAAATTATTGTTTCTCTGGAGTCCCGAGGTCAGCATAGCCAAAGTCTGGTCCAGGTCGTCACTACCATAGGCAGTCGCCGCCCTAGTGGATCAGAAGATTTGCCGCCATGTGACTAGTTTGAAACCACTAGGGTGGTGGATCCTTGTACTGGTTTAATCTTAGTTGGACTTTCTGGTGGAAAAGCCGGACTTCTTTTCAGTTTGGGAGAGCCTGCCAGGGTGATGAATCCCTCCGCCGTACATCGCAGTCCGACACCCATGAACATCTGCCAATCATGATGAGGCATAAACCGTTGGGAGTACTGATTATTACTACCGATGTTAAATTACAGTCGGCTTGGAAATTATTATTTACAAAAACATACACTGAATGCAATAATTACCTGTTTATCCTTCGCACTAGCAACCCAGGTAGAAATCAGAATGAGAATTTCACGCTTTACAGCACGCATCGTTTTCAATAAAGGCATCTAGAGGTAAACTATATTTAACTATGAAGAAAAACAGGGATCACGTACAACTTAACCTTCACCTTCAGCACATCTTGTCCATTTTGCTCAACAGCCGTTGATACTTTTTCCGACAGAATACGGTAAAGCGAAAGAAGATCAATGTATAAACGGCTGAGCTGAGTGATGAAAGGATTTCCGGTAGCCTTACAACATGCCACGTTGGTTTTCAAGATGTTCAACAAATTACGCGACACCTGAGAACAAAGGCATAGATTCGGTTTCGTTGCATAATAATGTATAAAACGGCAGTGGAAGTACCTCTGGATCCTCAAGTACAGACATGTTCTCGCCAGCGCGAGCGATTATTTCGTCCCAAACAGAATTGGGAAGCGCCATCAATTTTTCTATGAGGTCAGCCTGTTGATTAGGCTCATCACTTGCCGAAGATATTATGTGTCCTACAGCCTCGTAAAAAACGTGAACCTAAATCAACTAATCCGTAAATAGCTACGGTTCCTATAGCACCATAAATATGAGAGAACCTACCAGATCTATCACCCTAGGAAATTAAAAACATTACAACACAAAACACAGTACTAAAATGTTACCGACTCTTAAACACCGACTAGTGGATTTAAAAACACATTCAGCAGAAGGCGGGAGAGGAGCAAATAAAGAAAAAAGGAACTGCGACCATCACTAGGAAACTCCGAACGGAAACTAAACCGGACGTTGGGAAAATAAAGACAACGAACCTGAGATGGAGCAAGATCACATATGATTGCATTTAAATTCTTTAGCATTTCATCGATAAAGGGAGTTTGCTCGCCAACTTGCATCTGAAAAGGATTTTAATCTAATAATGAATGTAATTCAGATAGACGGATGAAGGATAAAGCTCTCGGCGCAGATCAATCACTGAGGGATACGACATGCATTCGACTTCACTAAACATTGTTTGGATGTGATTGAATGCATATCTGGCCTTTACAATGACTCACGGCGCCCTATCGATGAATCGAGTCAGTGCTACTACCCTCCCAGAGATTTGGTGTCAATTTGCCGACCGTGAACAGATGGAAGGCTTGGTGGGCCATGGGCACATGGATCGATCCCTTGTGTGGATTACAGAACGCCTCTGACCATTGTGCCACGTGCGCCCCTAATGTAAATCCGAAAAGTCCGGAAAAGAATAAAAAGCATACAAAAGTCTACTAAAATTAAACACATAGTTGCTCACAATGACGAAATGACGCTTGCATTTCATTGCGATCTTTATGAAAGTATCGCATGCCATATCTTGAACTCCTTCGTGGGTTTCATGCATAAACTCGAACAGCTTGTTGATCACCTCAAAAAAGTGGGATTATAACCATAGAGCTCAAATCCGTACAGACATGATAAAACGGGCAAACCGACCGTTTTCAAAAATTTCCAATGAGCCCTGAGAAACCTTGGGTACTGTCCAACAACATACATGATATTGGATGCAATGACAGCCTTGTTGTCTTTCCCACGTTTCTGCTCGCACAATCCAAGGAGATCTAAATCACTTACTTAAAACACTTCTTTCTTCACTACGCGAATTATGGTGTTAACCTCTAATGACAAGGACAAGAAAGCGCTTTTCATCTTCTTCAGCCATTGTGCCGGAAATCGAGCCAACAGCCCAGCAAAGCGTGTTCAGATTCTTCCATGAGAATTCGGACCCATTAACCTAAACGCAAAATCGGAATTGAATTTGCTGGACGCTTATTCATGAGCATAGACGGATACAATATTGTTTGTGAGACAGCTAGCATTCCATTCCCATATAAACAAATGAAATAAGCAAAAATTACCCAGATGAAGACAACTTCGCCTTCGTAGGCTCGACTCAAAAGAACTACAAAAACAAAGTAATATTCATTTCCACACATTTAAAAAAATGTTTTCTATATGTTACAATCATTGATAGAAACTTTCACTTCCTATTTTATCGCAAAAAAATACAAACTTTCAGATTAGTTAGCAGCATAAGGCTTTTATTAGACGAAAAGGATATAACTTACAACCTTCTTTCTTTCTTTATCTTTTTTTATCTTTCTTTTCTTTACAATCTTTCAAAAAGAAAAACCACGACATCGTTATCATTTCAATAACGGTCTACAAAAAACTGTAGCAAAAGAAAACGAAGATGGAAATTCTCGTTTGGCACACAAACAAACTATAACCACTGTACTAACCTGACTAGCAAGCTTTTCAGTCATTTTCTGCTCAGTATCTCTGCAATCCAGATGAGTCAGATAAACGAGACATTCACGCATATTTCTGTATAGAGTGATGGAATCAGTGTCCTTTACGATTTCACGCACAACCTAACAACGAGGGTTACAAGGTGCATCAGTAAAGTACACTCAGCAATCCTATTTTAAAATAAAACCGACTTCGCCCTGTTCATTTTCAACAACCAAGACCTCTTCCGGTTTTGCCATTCGAGAGATGATGATTGTACGCAAATTAGACAAATGTTCCCTGAAATGTCCAACTCTCCTAATACAAGGAGGGTGAAGTACCAGTGAGTACCTTTTCAACAACATAAAAGCTAAGAGCCTCATACGAAACATGTGGGCTTTTTTTGTTCATTCATCAAACTGGGCAGCTCTACAGCGCATACAGGAAGAACGTATTCTTCAACTCTACCCGCTAGAGCCACTCAATGATTGATAGGAATAAAGGTGAAAGCGAGTCAGAAAGTTTTCAATACGAACTTGTACAACTTTCGCCTCGGGTGTTCCTTGCCAGCACAGGCGCCGCCGCACGAGAAGGATATAGCGACTGGAGGTGACGGTGGAGCGAACGGATTCAGACGATACAGTTCGGAGGTCAGCGTACACCAGTAGTCGAGACAAACCAGGAAAAGAACGACAGCATTAGAGCGGAAAATTGTAGAAGGAAAACCAATAATATGTGAAGGAATGGAGAATGGACCATATGGAAATTACGAAATAATAGCGAAACCAACTATTTAAAATAAGAGATTCCTAAAATAAGGTTTGAAAAACACTAACCTTAAAAATCTCAACGTCATCCACCTGACTAATTGATAGCAACAGCTCTACCGCATACATATGGTAATCGGTAACTTGAGGACATACCGGGTTATAATTCTAAAGGAATACTCCGATATTTTCGAAACACTCCATAATATCTCGTTTCACGTAGTGTAGGAAATATTAGCTTAAATCAATACAACCACTTTTAGTACCGCAAAAAGCTTTTCTGGAATATATGGAGTTTAAATAAAGGATAAAGCTTCATGTGTTGACCAACCCCTAGGGATGCGCTATGTATTCGACTTCATTAAGCATCGTTTTGAAATGGTTGAATGCATATCTGGGTTTTACAATAACTCGCGATGGCCTACCGATGTATCGAACCACTGCTGCTGTACTCCCAGACAAGTCTGGTACCAAATTCCAGATCCCGGAGGAATGGAAGGCTTGGTGGGCCAGGGGCACGGGAATCGATCCCATACGTATTGTAGGGCGCCTCTAACCACTGCGCCGCACTCCTCCGGAAGCAACATACCTTTGCAAATATTAGGCACAGACAACAATAAAGACTTTCACCAAACGAACGAATGAGACGCGTTATGTTGCGCTGACCTGCAAACGTACCTCAACAAGTGCTGAATGATCCTTGAGAAAAGCCACCAGGAACTGCGCCAAACATGAGATAAACTTCTGGTCGTCATCTGTTCCTGATTGGTAAGCTGCAGCTAGGTCCCTCTCACCCAACAAACTACCTATCTGCAAATACTCATTTAGATAATACAAAAAAATAACGTTGAATTTATAAAATGGCGCTGCAAAAATCGGTGCAGGTAAGGTAACGAAGTTACCTCTTTTATTGTTGCACAGAACATTGCACACAGTTTTTCTTTATAAGCATTGTCCTCGGTCTCGACTTGGATCATCGAGATTTCGGTAAGGCATTGCAGTGTCACGACTCGGTATGCAGCACGAGCAAGAAACTAGAAAACGGTCAACCGATGTTTGATGGCAAAATTTCGGCACTATCGCTTCTTCAAAGCCGTAAAAATTCAAGGCGGTTCGATGCCATTATAAAGATCCACATCAGAGGAAATAACTGTCGTGGACCTTTAACTGGAATCGCTGTGGCTCTGAAGAAGACAGCGTTGAAACGTTTGGCACAGTAAAAAAAAAGGCTGCAAGGCCGACCCTATACGTCAGTACAAAATATTGACCATTCATACAAATTTTCGAAACTGAACAAACAATGCAAAGTTGCCATGGAAAAAGTAAAATTACATTTTCGCTCAGGAGCTGAGTAATGTTCGTTTCAAACACATAACCAACAGGAATCCATGAAAGAAAACGATGTAGAGTCTTCAATGTTGCTTCGACAATAGAGTTGGCCGGACATTTCTCCTAGGAAAGAAAAGAACTTTTACACAACTGCTCTATTGGAAACTATCCGGAATATGAAACTAACAAGAATAGTGATACAAAGTGTAAAAATCTCCTGGAACTGGCCGCAAAATTGCTGCTTCAGGTGCTGCTCCTTGGCCTGCGTCAGATTCAAGCTTCCAAAGTCAAATACTTCTTCACTGAAATCTTAACTTTACTTTTACACATAAAAATAACAGTGATGGAGCAAATAGTACAGTTGCAGTGATGCCGACCATCATGAGCAAGGTGCTGGTTCGATCCCGCTCCACACACACCAATTCCCCTCCAGGATAAGGAAATTGGCACCGGACTTGCATGGGAAAGGTCCACTGTCCGCAATCCAAGTCGGAGCACTCTAACCCGGTTATCTCAATACTTCAGAAAGAAACGACTCGACCAGTATTAAACGACATTCATAATGAAAGGGAAAACCTCAAACTGCAGCCGAAGCTGCACGTAGAAAAGTTAAAAGATTTTCGCGGATGATGGATGCAAGGAAACGAATTGAATGGAAGAACTGCTGGGATCTTCACAGTATATATGAAAGACGGAACGCTTAAAAAGAAACCTTGAAAGCAATTTCTCCAATGTTGAGCAAAAAAAAAATAACAGTGACAACAATATTTAGTTCCTCGTTTTATAAAAAGATAAGGCCTTCGGCGCTCGTTTAACCCCCAAAGCCGCTATGAGGGATTTTAGCGATGTTTTGTACCAAGTCTTCTCATCTACTCAGACGAGACGGCCACCAATCCTGGCACAACGGAGCGAGAGGTTCATAGTCCGAGGCGTGGCGTTGAAATAAATCTGGCATGACAACTCTACCTACTCGTTGCACGGGTACACCTAGTTTTGTAGTCACTGGTAAATCACCTGAGAAGACTGAGGATGTTCATGTTGTTAATGCAAATGTTGTCGCTCGTTTTTGACGATTCAACGATATCAGTTATGAACGAAGGCCAGTTCTTTGGCCAGTCTTGTTTCACAATCTGAAAATCATATGTTCTAAAGAAACTTTCTAATGCAAAACACCTATGAATAAAGCAAATTGGATAAAATTTGGAAATATTGGCCTGAAATTTACTTGAACCAAGACGAGGTTGAGTTTGTGGAGTAGTAATGAATTCTTCTCGGACTCAACACGAGACTCGCTGAGTTTCAGGATAAATTGAACTATAAAACCTTTGATACCGTCGCGTTGCACAAGTGGGAGTGATTTCCACCTAGAAAGAGAATTCGATGGAAGAGCTACATACAGATGAAGAATTGTAGGAGAAAAGGCACTGTGACCCACTTGGTTTGTATTACAGATTCAAGAATTTGAAGCGCAAAATACTTTGTTTCCGCAAGATCCGAGTATTCCAGTATTGCATCCACCTGTAACGAAACTAACTACTACCAGCTAACCACAAGTCACCATTAGCAAGAAAAATACTATTCAAGTACTATTCATCACTGATAGTCTCTTCGACATTACTACTTGGATAGTTAGGGCCTCACAAAATTTCCCTTTTTCCGGAGCTTTGCTGGTTTACCTACTGTGGTTCCCTGGAGTCCCGAGTCCAGCATCGCCAAAGTCTTCCCTAGGTCGTCACCATCACAGGTGGTCGCCGCTCTTGTTGATAGCGTTTTCTTACATAGAAAAACTGTAATATCATTCCTGCTGATGGGCAGTTGCTGATGACAATGTTAAGGATAACATTAGCTCAGAGGAACGCAAAACAAAGGCCTCAATGGTGTAGTATGTAATATGTGAGTCCCAGAAAGGGTAATAATCGTGGTTCGATCTGGCCCGGGTCCAGGTTTTACGAATATCTCAACATCGTTGTAGCTGTATTACCACTGTTTTTTGCCAGCGTGTTTGCAAATATAAGGATTGATATAGTGGTGACTACACCCAAGCATTTTTCTCTCAAAGTATACCGAATTTTGAAGCCAATATTAGATTTGGCATTTAATATTGCAAAAATTCGGACCACATTTTATTCATATCTGCATTGTCTACTGAACAAATAGGCTTCACTAATTTATTATTTGTTCAAGATTACGACACCAAACCTTCCTTCTACTGGGCGTCAGTTTGAACATGGAAAAGAATAGCGGATGCTCTGGAATTTGAACAGGGACATACCTTAGTCCATGAGTTCGGATTCTCCTTCAACTCCACAAGTATCATATTCGCCAGTTTCTGCTCCTCACCAGTAGCTCGATTCATCATTGTCACAACCTGATTTTTCCATAAACACCTTGAAACCTGTAATAAATTAGTGAAAACTAGAGGTGGGCATACCTGATCCAGCAGTTGCACGTTCAGCTTTCCGTCTTCCTGGAATTGCTTCTTCGCCTCTTCGAGGATGACCATCGGGGTTGCCGTCAGTGCTGCCATCGTTGACGATTCGTCGTCTTTGCGGTAGCTTCCAACTCTTCTTCCACCGCACACACTCGCAATTTAATATACAAAGTCCTCTCACACTCCCACACTCACACACGATTCGGAGTACTGGATTTAACTCCTGAAACACGAAACCTTGACAACAACAAAAGAAAAACCGGCAAGATTCCCAAATAACAGACAAGTTAGAGGTCTAAAGGGGCTACGATAGGCGTCAGAACAGCTAAAAAGACAGAGATATTGAGAGGCTCTCAACAACATGACGAGAAGAAAACAGTTCTCGAATGATCGATCAGTGGTGATCCAAGCGGACAGCGATGAAGTATTTGTCCCACTGTCGGCATCGGACAGAAAAAATTCAAGACGGGAATGTCCGTCGACGGACAGAACGGACCCGACCGACCGATCAGAAAGCGGTCCGGAGCTGCGGTGGCGCGAACACGGTTCGAAAATCGCCGCCGCAGTCGATGTTTATTTTTCAGGTGGCGCGTGACTGGCGTCGCTTGGCGTGACGTTGCACAAAAAACTGAACGCGTGGAAGATGGTCTGGAATGGACGTCCGAGAGCCGACGTCTCCGGACGTGCTTCGTGTGGATACGTTGTGTATGTTGCCGAGAAGGTTCTCGTTCGGGCCGGTGCTCGAAGATCCGTATGAAAACACCAGTTGAGAGCGCTACGAGGTGCTGGAGTCGAACAGGGTGAGCACTGCCAGTTCGGCAATTGTGACACTTCTTGATTCGGTTAGAGGAGTTGTGTGGATTTAGTCATCGAGATACAGCAACAGTTCTCACGCCTCATCGTCCTTTCTTCTTTCGCTATTCATCTTTGTATAGATCTGGATGTATCCTTAGGTGTGAGGTTTCACAGTTATCCCAGATGGGTGAGGGAAGCTCCGTTATTACTTTTCGAATACGACTGTCTTATGTGTTTGAACAACAGAAGTTAGTTCCGAGGATTTATAGGCTCAGAAAAAAATAGCAACGTTGCAGACTAATATCAGCGAAAGATGGGCTTTCATCAAATGATTTTTTCGTGTAATTGTGGACAGAGAACACCTGTCGACTCAGCCTATCACGAATTCTCTGGGATCCCCACAACCAATGCTTGTTTAGCAAGGTCCACCAATCACCTACGGAAGTAAATGGTATTTATGATATTTTCACTTGATTTTCTTCGTATTTTTGTTGAGCAAACGCGAGGTGTTACTATTCTTTGTTCACGATTAAGCTGACGTTTCGGCGGATTTCGCCTTTTTCAGAGCCTGGAAAGGTCAAGTTGATAGCAACTCACTCGGCCAGACGCCTCCATAACCAAACAAAGAAACTCCAAACCAAGATTTCAATCACTCTGAACACAGCTTTGCACACTCACCGCTTTCTATGAGGTTTCCACTAAGTATGTCACGTAGAGACCAACCGCACAGAAATCACGTGGAAGTATAATGTGCCCCTCACATCAGAAAATCAGTTTTATATACTGCCCTATATCACGCGTGATAATGAGGCATTCTTCCCTGCGGTTCATTTTCGGATTTCTGGAATTAATCCAGAGTGCCTCAAGAGTTTTTCGCGCCTGTGTTCTTGATTCGCGTGCGAGGATCGTGACACATACTTCNTTCGTATTTTTGTTGAGCAAACGCGAGGTGTTACTATTCTTTGTTCACGATTAAGCTGACGTTTCGGCGGATTTCGCCTTTTTCAGAGCCTGGAAAGGTCAAGTTGATAGCAACTCACTCGGCCAGACGCCTCCATAACCAAACAAAGAAACTCCAAACCAAGATTTCAATCACTCTGAACACAGCTTTGCACACTCACCGCTTTCTATGAGGTTTCCACTAAGTATGTCACGTAGAGACCAACCGCACAGAAATCACGTGGAAGTATAATGTGCCCCTCACATCAGAAAATCAGTTTTATATACTGCCCTATATCACGCGTGATAATGAGGCATTCTTCCCTGCGGTTCATTTTCGGATTTCTGGAATTAATCCAGAGTGCCTCAAGAGTTTTTCGCGCCTGTGTTCTTGATTCGCGTGCGAGGATCGTGACACATCGTGATTGTTTGGTTATGGAGGCGTCTGGCCGAGTGAGTTGCTATCAACTTGACCTTTCCAGACTCTGAAGAAGGCGAAATCCGCCGAAACGTCAGCTTAATCGTGAACAAAGAATAGTAACACCTCGCGTTTGCTCAACAAAAATACGAAGAAAATCACTTGATCAATGACGAGGTTAATAGAAAGTCGGTCGTGGCATTTTCACTTGATATTTCAATAGTACTATAGCTCACAAGAGGGGGCGCATGTGGCGCGATCGTCGGAGGCGCCCTGAAACATACATGGGCTCGATCACCGTGCTCTTAGCCCACCAAGCCTTCCATTCCTCCGGTGTCGGCAAATTGGTGTCAGACCTATCCTATAGGATAGCAGTACTGGCTGGATACATCGGTAGCCTACTGCGAGTCATTGTAAAGGCCAGATATGCATTCGATCACCTCCAAGTGATGCTTAATGAAGTCGAATGCATTGCGCATCCCTCAGGGATAGGTCAACACCGAGGCCACATTGAACGGACCCTGTGCGTCCTGAGCGCCTTGAGTGCGGCCATTCGAAATCCACTATTGCTGGAAGGATTTCCTTTTCAGATGTGGGGAATCTATTTGAAAATTTCCTGCAATAGAACTTGCAAAGCTACCAGAACCGATGCTGAAACATTATGAGAAGATTTATCGTATGAGAACCTACTGAGAACGGGATGAAGTCCTTACTGTTTTTCAACTTCGTCCCCGAATCGGGTAACACCAATAATTTCATTCCTTGTTTGGTTTTTCGCCTACTCTTTGTTTAGTTAGCATCAATTTAAGTGACTTAAATAAAGAATAGACTGGAATTGAATAGAGAAAGAGAAGGAGATGTTGACGTTCACGAATCATCTGTGGAAGAAGATAAAGTATGTTGGCCTTTAACACATATTAAGCGGAAACTGGTAGTGAAGTGGCAAATGTGGGTTTGTGATATTCCTTTAGACAATGAAGTGTTTCAACCAAGCCTTTGTTTCAGTTCCCCTCTAAAAGGATAAAGTATAAAGCTATAGACGTTGATCAATCCCTGAGGGATGAGCCATGCATTCGACTTCATTAAATATCGTTTGAGCTGATTGAATGCATACCTGGCTTTTACAATGACTCGCGGTGGCCTACCCATGTATCGAGCCATTACTGATATCCTCCCAGACAAGTCTGGTATCAATTTCCCCACCCCGCAGAGATGAAAGGCTTGATAGGCCATGGGTGCCGGGATTGATTCCACGTGTGTGTCGCAGTGACGCCTCCAACCACTGCGTCACACTCGCCTTTCAGTTCCTCTCTAGCATATACAAATGCACTTCTCTTCAAGCATTAGCATCGACAGGTGCGAAAGCATATCAATTTCTCTTTCTATTCGTATCCCTTCCTATTGTGATTTTCACTCTCGTAAGAAAAAAGACCATCAACAAATACTTTACTATCGTTTTATGGAGCTTATCATAGTGAGCGAAAAAAGGTGACCACAGTTGATATGCACTTGTGACAGAGCATTTTGTTATTTTTGTATGAAATAGAGGCGAAGTGACTGAGCTTTAAAGAAGATGGGCGTACGGAAAGCTGTGGGCTAAGCCTACATGTGACTCATCGGATGCTGTGAGCTTGTGAGGCATACATTTCATTTTTTTGTGCTTTGATGAAAATAATATCATGGCAAATTTATCCGCTATAGGGCAACGTCTTTTCTATGTGTCTGTTAAGTATTCATGTTCCTTTGTCCTCAGTCTGTTGAAAAGTTAACTGCAAGTGTCAGAAAATATGGATTCATGTAGCTCAGAGGTCGGAGGCGCCCTGCAATACACATAAGATCGATCTCTGCACCCCAAGCTCACCAACTCCATCACTCCGGGGTTGGCAAATTGGTACCAGACTTGTCTGGCAGGATATCAGGCACTGGTTCGATACGTTGGTGGGCCACCGCGAGCCATTGTGAAGAAGAGATGCGCCATGCATTCAACTTCATTAAGTATCGTTGAAGGTGAATGAATGCATATCTGGCTTTTACAATGACTCGTCTTGGCCTACCGATGTATTGAGCCAGTGCTGCTATCTTCCCAGACAGGTCTGGTACCAATTTGCCGACCCCGGGAAGATGGAAGGCTTTGTGGGCTATGAGTGTGGGATCGATTCCACGTGTTTTGCAGGGCGCCTCCGAGTGCTACATGCATCATTTCCCCACACGCTTCACACGTGATATAGAAATTGCCGGGAAACGTGAACCTCGCTATTTGTTCATTTTCGTTTTCACTATTAAGAATAGTTTATAATCACTTAACTTATCACTATGATCTGAACAAACAACGTTAATTTGCCGCGTGAACTTCTGTCTTCAAAAATATCCGAAGTGTTTCCAGAATTTTCATATTTCTCATATTTGATATTCTCTCGTTCATATTCCAAACAGTGAGAGAGCAAAACAGACACTACTCGGTATATCTGAGTCACCTTAGCAAATATTCCCAAAGATAACATGGACTGCGTGGGGGCTCCCTAATACCATCGCGATGATTATAATTAATTTTGCAAGTCCTCCATGTAATATTTCAAAACCGACTTCCCTTTAACTCCGGTATGATTAATCAACACTTGTTTAAATTGTTGAGCACGCGAAGTTGATAGAATTTTATTCGGCTAACGTTTCCACATCTCCGTCTTCATAAGAGCTGATGATCCGAGTCGATGGTGCACGGCAGTTCTTCTTCTCGATGTGGCGTTTTCGTCGTCGTTCCGAGACGGATCTTCTTCAGTAGAGCATCCCTCAAATGAGCCATGTCCACCCGACGACGATGTTTTATACAGGACGCTGGTTGTTGTTAACAGTGATTGTCCGTTGCTAACAACTTTCCTTTGCAAAACATTGTTTTAACCATTAACCAGAGATTGGCGGTCATATTTGCCCTTTTAGCTACCACTGT